CTGAACATCATGAAAGTTTAATTCTACTAAAAAAGACTAACACTATAAAGTTAAATGTCTGATTAAAAATAATGTAATAAACATAAGTGATTCTATGGTAATTTAGACAGGAAAAGGCAACAGCTTTTTCAGGTGAGTGATGATTGATTTTGGCTTGGGTTTTCATTCTCTTTTATTCTTCTGTGTATATTTTAAAGCAAGCTATAGATTCAATGCAATGGTCATCAAAATACCAATATCATTCTTCACAAAGCTAGAAAAATATAGTAAAATTCATATAGAAACACAAAAGACCCTGAATAGCCAAAGCAATCCTGAGCAAGAATAGCAGTGCTGGAGACATTACAGAACCAAATTTCAAGACATATTAGACATTGTAACAAAAATGACATGGTGTGGCACATAAAGAGACAAATGACCAATGAAATTGAATAGAGAACCCAGAAATAAACTGTTGTAGTCAGAAGGATTTGGCAAGGGAATACATTAAATACAGGACTCATAACTTATAAGGTTATTTTATGATAATTACCAAAATATTTAAATGTAAAAGAGTGCAAGAGATTAACCACATGCTAGAAACCTAAAAGATTCAACTGAGTGCCTAGATCCCAGAAGTTTCCCATACAAGTCCATCTGAAGGCCTAGAGTCCAAGGAAATGGCCTCTTCAAGTCCATCTGGTAGCCTAGAGCCCACATGTCTCATGCCTGTGAATACTGAGGATCTGCACCTGGAAGGCTCAAAGGCCAGTGGTGGAAGCCAGAAAATCTACACTGGTGAGATGAAGGATTTCTGCCACCAAACTGAGGGATCCCCATTGGAGCCAGGAAGTGATGCTCACAGTGAAGAACAGAGCTCCCTTGATGAAAACAGCAGCCATTCCCAGCAATAGTGAGGCTCTGAGCTCCTCCTCCAATGAGAACATCCTAGTTTCCATCAGGAAAATCATCTACAGCAAGCTTCTCCTAGCAAATCCACAGGCTAAGATCTTTCGCTCCAGTTCTCTTTTTATGGCTATTGCTAACAGTCTTCAGGTGGATCCTCCATGCCCAGACCGTGCTGATTGAGTTCACCTGCTTGTTACAAGTTGACCATTAATCAATCAACAACAATCCACTCCTGGTCAACTTGTTAACCAAACACATTTCCTTAAATCATAGTCTCTAGTGGCAGACTTGTGAAAAGTTAACCTATGTTGATCTCTTCAGATTTACAGGTGAGTGATGGTTTTTGGAAGACAGACACAGGACATGGAAATGAAGCCCCATATTTTACAGTGGACCTTTGAATTATGACCAGCCTGACATAGGACCAACATGGTTTAAGACTCGAATTTTGTTTTTAACTTGTGACTAATGTATTCATTTATGACCAATGCTGGCCTCTTGTGCTTCCAGATGGTCTCAGATACAGATTTAACCCTTAAAGAGTTCTGGAATGAATATTACAGCATTTTTTCCTCTGTGAGGCTAATTGAGAAACTGTGGGCTAATGTCTCTAAGGTTACTGAGATCTGCCAGGAAGAAAGTGTGGTGGCCAAAAATTAAACAGGTGAGAGACTTTGAAGGCAGTTGAGCAACTTGTGTCACAACAAGCCTTTGCAAATGCATTGAGTTAGTAAGTCAAGGGTTCGTTGTGTCTCTCTTCTCCAAAACTATTTGTCTTTGTACTTTGTAGATAACCCTACTATTTATTGTTGAACAACTTTAAAGAATCATATTCATGCTCAGTATTTCCATACTTTGGTTAGAGTGAGAGACTGCACTGTGAAGCCTAAATTCTACTCCTAGAATGTACAAT